GACACACACACAAAGTTTAGCCACATTTTATATTTCAGATGGGTTCTGTTTGCTGTCAGCATGCCATGGCTCCTTTAAGAGATGCTTCTCATTCAGCAGTAGCAAACAAACAAACAAACAAACAAACAAACAAAAATCCAGCACAGTTTTGAAACAGCAGCTTCTGGTTCTATGCTGCCAGCATGAACTCTTTCAAGAGGCAGAGCACTTGAATATGGTTTTTTGGGCATTGTGCTGCAAGTTACTTGGTGGTAGCATGGGCCAGTTGCTTACCAGAGTTGAGGTAGTGAGTGTGGCTCACACCTGGCAGTCTCGGGGGAAGTGAACAGACCTCCACAATGTTGGACTGTGCAGAGCCAACAGGCAGGACCATGGAGTTGGTCCTATCCATGTCCACTTATCATTTAAAAAAAAGGTTCTTCTGGTCAGAAAATAATTACAGATGCAAAGTAAAGACATCCAGATTTTTAAAAAAGTCTTAATGGGTCACAGTGTTGTATAAATATAAGTAGTCTTGGGAGAGATAAGAAAAAGAATATAGACAGTTATAAGAAGAAGTAAATGGTTAAAAAATAAAACAAAGTCTTTAAAGAGACAGAGTACAGGCAGTCATAGATTAAAGGAGTAAAGAAAAACAAGCCACGTAAAGATGGAATATACACAGAGAGTCTGGATTATGTCTATTATTGAATTTTTTGATTTTGAAGGAGCTAAGAACAGAGATATATTTCATTGTGTGGGATGCTTAGGTAAACTTACATGTATAATTTAAATGTATCTTTACTTCAAAATTTGGGTTGAAAGAAAAATTGTTGCTTTGGAAAAGAGGCTGCAACAGGTTATAAAGGGAGAAAACCAAACCATTGAGAGATCTAAGGAAAAAGCAAAGAATATGTGCAATATTTTACATTTCTTAAGTGTGAATACCTGGACATGGTTGGTCACTTAGGTGCTATTGATCTCCTGAAGGACTATCTATGATACAGCAAGGATAGACATTTAAAATACCACACTAATTCATTAGAAATCTTGAAGGACGAGATCTAGCAAGGTCAGACACCAGCAATTCCACTCTGTGAAACTTCCTCCTGTGATCTCTCCAGAAGGACTTCCCTCTGGCCCAATCATCCTGTCAGGGAGGTAATTATAGAGAACAGGCTTCTAAGTTTTTCTTTTATGGCAGTGTGGGACAAAAGGTTTGACAGTCTTATTTTATTTATGAGGATATACAGTTTGGGGAAAAGTCATCCTACAAAGAGAACACAGGAAAATTCTGCCCAACATATGAGGAATCCACAGCAGGGGAGCTTGCTGTCATAAGAGAATGTGCAGTTAGAGACAGCCAGCAATTCCAAAGGCAGTGTTTTTCATAGGCCATGCCTAAGTGATCTTAACCTCCAGTATAAGTCTCTGGTGGGTTGGCCTTCTAAATGTCAGTTGATCTACTGCACAACCTTGTAGATACCATGAGAACCTGGGTTGGAGTGCACCAGGGTCCTGTCACCCTAGCTGTGGACTGGGGAACACTCAGCCTCCCTGGTAGGCAACTTCCTTCTTATTGTTGTGTTTGTTTTTTGAGACAGGTGTCATTAGTCAGGATCACATCGTAGGCTGTCCTGGAACTCACTGTGTAGACCAAGATGGCTTGAATTCACAGAGATCTGCCTGACTCTGCTTCCCATGTGCTTTGCTTAAAACCATTCTCTACATAGGTAGCTCATCAGAAAGGAACAAAACAGAGGGATATTCCAAAGAGGAAATATGCAGAAGAAAGACCAGAAGGACAAAAGGACAGTCAGTGTTTGGTAAAACTGATGTTCTGGTGTGGAATAGACCATAAGGTTTTGTGCTGAGTGAGAGATAAGAAGAAAGCAAAACAGAATAAAAAGTGTTCTTGGCCAAGCTATCTGCAGAACTGATATTTTATTTTTAGGCCAGTGATTCTTAAAAATGTGGTCCCCAGACCAGCAGCCTCAGCATTACTTCAGAACTTGCTAGAAGTATACCTTCTTGTGTCTATTCGCATACCTACTGGGTCAGAAACACTGGAGGTAGGTAATAACAATCTGTACCCAGGTGAGCCCTTTAAAAAAGTATGACATGCACATGCATGTCACATATGAATGAAGGTGCCCAGGAGGCCAGAAAAGGTGCCAGATCCCCAGGTATTAGAGTTACAGGTGATTTTGAGCCTTCAAGAACTCTTAGCCACAGAGGATCAATCCAGCTCTGTATCCAGTTGACTCTTACCAATGACCAAGTTTACAAAGCAATATTTGGGCATCAGGAGGCCACCAAAGGCCACCTCATAAAAGAGATTAGATCAGAGTTGTTCTCTCAAACATAGTGAGGGGTCTGAATAATATTGCATTGTGTGTATGAAGTACATTTCTTAATTTTTTTATTACTTTTACGTGTATGACTATTACCTGCCATGTATGTAAGTATGTATGTATGTATGTACATGATGTGTGGGCCTGGAATCCACGGACATCACAAGAGGGTGTCAGGGCCTTTAATTCCCAGCACTTGGGAGGCAGAGGCGGGCAGATATCTGAGTTTGAGGCCAGCCTGGTCTACAGACTGAGTTTCATGACAAGTTCAGAGAGAGAGAGAGAGAGAGAGAGAGAGAGAGAGAGAGAGAGAGAGAGAGAGAGAGAGAGAAAGGGAGAGATATCAGGAGATCCTGGGTATATGAACTTGGGAAGGAGGTGAAGCAGGAGGGTCTGAGTTCAATAAGATGAGGCCAGTGTGGGCCACATGATACCTTGTCTTGTATCTAAACAAAACAAAACAAAACAAGGACTGAAGTAAAAATAGTATTTCCCCTTAGTAAATATGTTACCTTTGGTGATTGACTAATACTCTCTACACCAGTTTTCTGTTGAAAGACTAGCGCTACTAATTGTATTGATCATTTCAACATAAGGTACATGTAGAGAAACTACTCAGTAAATGCTTGCGACTATGATCTGGCCAAATGTTTGTATGTGTGCATCTGTGTCTCAGGAAGAGCTCAAAACATGTCATCTGCCATTTTGGAGAGAGGGTGGAACTCAGATCACCAGAACACTCTCTACTAGGGTTTTCTTCTGACATGGAAACTGCTTATAGTGAACTGTGACATGTCAGACAGACTCTGCAGGAGGTTCAGTTCTTTACTCATGTCCAGGGAAAGGATTAGAAAGACTATAAGAGAGACAACATAGATTGGTGGGATTGAGTCAAAGGGTTAAGAAAAACCAAAAAGTAAGACAAAAACAAAAAAACAAAACAAAAACCAGAACATGCTCCAAAAAACAAACAATAAAAAATCCACTATATTTCAGGTAACAGTTATTAGAAAATTTTAAACTAAGGCCAGGATATTTATCCGTTAAATGTAAAACAGAACATATTCAAAAGCACAGCATAATGTATGGGGGTAAAATGTGGAAAACATACATGTTCATGTCTGTGGCGAGTGCACCCTTTGAGGCTGATTCCAAGGATCAGGAAGAGTAGAGCCTACAATAAAGGCCTGGCCAGAGTCTCACCAATACATGTTGGGGTAAGAATGTTTTCTAAATGAATGTCAAAGTCTCTGGTCCTACTTCTGCCAATGATTTGAGGAGCTTATCTTTTTATATGCTCATCGCTCTGCTGAGCTGAGTCAGGCAACAAACATATATTAAGCACTAACTGTCTACTAGGTTCTGTATCCAGAAAAATAAGACTTTTCCTGTTCTACTTATTATCAAAGTTTGCCTGACCTCCTAGGCATGTTTCTCACTGTAGGGAGGCAAGTGGGGGTCTCTTCCAGTTAATCCTGTTTTTAAACTTTCCATTTACACAATGGTTTCACTTTCCCATTTACACAAGGGTTTTACTTTTACAGGCAGAGATTAAAAACCAAACAAATAACATACTATGAGAAAGATGGCCATGGAACACGATCAAAGGTCTTGGAATGGAACAAATTTACCTTGGGCTTAAGTACAAATACCAAAACCAAACCAACCAAACCAACCAAAAACAAAAGGCAACGACAAAAAGAAAACAAAAAACAAAACCCCAAACAAACAAATACAATCAGGCATGTAGCACATATCTTTAACCCCAGCTCCCAGAAGGCTGATGCAGGCAAATCGAAATTCAAGACCAATCTGGTCCACAAAGAGAGCTCAAAAGCTGCACAGAGAGACCATATATCAAGAAAACAAGCATCAGGAGAGGTTCTACTAGTTGCCAGCTGTTCAATGAAAGATATAGAAGGTGATTTCATACAGGGCAGCACCCCCAATAGAACACAGGAATGAGATAAGACTTCCTCACAAAAATTTGAAATCCTTTATGTTTTTCTGTCCTAAAACTTTTCTGTGTGTGTGTGTGTGTGTGTGTGTGTGTGTATTTAGAGGTCAGAGGGTGATGTTAGATGTCTTTATTTCTGTCTTCCCTCATATTTGCTTTGTTTGTTTTGAGACAGGGTTTCACTTTGTAGCCCTGGCTGTCCTGGAACTTGGGCTATGTAGTCCAGGTTGGCCTGGGATGGCCTGCCACTGCCTCCTAATTCCTGGCATTAAAGTCATGTGCCACCATGCCCAGATGCACCCGATTTCTTCAGACAAGGTCTCTCAGTGAACCTGGAGCCCATGGTTTGGGTTTTGGCTAAATTAACTAGCCAGTGAGCTCCAGGAATCCTTCTGTCTACGCTCCCCAGGGCTAAGCTTACAAGTGTATGCCATCTCACCAACTCTTACATGGATGCTGCGGATCTGAGCTCATGTCTTCACACGTTATGGTTGATTTCCTCAGCACATGCCCTTCATACTTTGCCTTTCAAGAAAGAGAAACACTCTAGAAATGACCGGCAATTAGACTTCTGCTTTTATAAGAAACTACATCTACTTAACATGAAAACTGTTATAAAGTTTATTCTACAAAATGATTGAGGCCTGTCCTACTGCCGTCTCCTAACACACTTCTTTTGAAAGTGCACAGACGTCTTCCCAGTGCATTCTTTACTCAATTCCTTTTGCTTTCAGCTCCTCCTTGACACGTGTCAGGTAATGAGGATCAGGGTAGCCAAAACTGCATGAAGAAAAAGAAATCCTGTTAGCTTCCTCCCAAATAATTCTCAAGAATCTACAATAGCCAGGAATGGTAGCACAGGCCTTTAATCCCAGCAGTCAGTTGGCGACAGCAGTCAGATCTCTGTGAGTCTGAAGCCAGCCTGGGCCACACAGTGAGATCCTGTCTTAAAACAACAACAAAATCTGAACAATTTACACTTGAGCATCTAGTATTCTGGGATCCAGCATCCTCAGGCAATCAGACAGTGGCTGGTATCTAGTCACTGAAGTGCCCAGCTGACTGACCAGCATCTGTTTTCCACACATTGCTTAACACCTTAGCTCATTTCAAGTACTGATGCACATAATGTTATAAAAGCCAAATTCTACAGAGAAGGTAATCATACGATAATAGGACTTTCAAAATGGGAAAGTTGACAAGGTCTCAGGATATTTTTCTTTTGATGCCACAAGTAGAGGAACTCTGAGATTTATGAAGTATAGTCAGATTTCCTGGGATACATCTCCCACCATCTTGGGACTCTTTATATTGAAGACTTTCTTCCTATCATGTTTCATCCATGTGAGTTCAACACCTTTGTGGACAATGGGAAGATAGGGGTGAGGGAGAATAAGATGACCTTAAAAGAAACCAAAGCAGGGCTGGAGACATGGCTCAGAGGTTAAGAGCACTGGCTGTGCTTCCAGAAGACCCTGGTTAAATTCCCAACACACACATGTCAGCTCACACCTGTTTTGTAACTTCAGGGGATCTGACAGCCTCACACAGACATAAATGTATGCAAAGCAAAAACGTAAATAAAAGCAAATAAATATTTTTTAAAAAGTCAAAGCAAATATTTTTAGGATCTACCTTTAAAATTGACCTGAAACACTAAAATTAAATCAACTTGGGCACAATTCATCTTGAGTTCTGAAACCCCATCTTTTGATGCATTTTTGGGAGTGGCATAGAAACAAGGTTACTCTGTGTAGACCTGACTGTCATGAAATTCTGTCTGTAGACTAGGATGGCCTCCAACTAGAGATCCACCTGCCTCTATCTCTTGAGTACTGGGATTAAAGGTGTGTACCACCACTGCCCAGCTTTGATGCAAAATTTAATAACCAAGTCATACATTATGAATGGAAAAGTAGAAGGTTGGAGGGATCAATTTTTTTTTCAAGACGGCCTTAAACTCAGATATCCACCTGTCTCTACCTCCCAAATTCTGGGATTAAAGGCATGTTCTACCACTGCCCAGCTTGAACCAATTTTTTCTCTTTAAAGTTATCATTATAGATTAGAATTTTTCTTTTTGTTAAAGATACTTTTTGTTAACTAATACTTATATTTTTATAGCTTAGTTTTTTTTTTTTTTTTTTTGTTTTTTTTTTTTTTTTTTTTGAGACAGGGTTTTCACTGTAGCTTTGGAGACTGTTTTAGAACTAGCTCTTGAAGATCAGGATGGCCTCATACTCACAGAGGTCTGACTGTCTTTGCCTTCCTAGTGCTGGAATTAAATCATGTGCCACCACCACCTGGCTCATTTTCATAATTAGTGATTGATGTGGGAAGGGCCCAGTCCATTGTCAGTGGTGCCAGTCCTGGGCTGGTGGTCATGGGTGGGTATAAGAAAGCAGGTTGAGCATGCCATGGGGAATAAGCCATGAAGTAGCATCCCACCATGGCCTCTGCATCAGCTCCTCCAGTTTCCTGCTTGTTTTGAGTTCCTGGCTCCTCTTCCCTCAGTGTCTCAGGAGATGTAAATCAAATACACCCTTTCTTCCCTAGGTTGCTTTTGGTTATCACAGTAACAGAAACCCTAGCTAAGACACTGAGCTAACATCTACTGCTGGAATACCTTTTCATACCACAGCCTCAAACTGCAGCACTTAACACCCCCTATACTTTGTTCAGCAACCATTACATTTCAAAGGCTCTTACTTTCTTGGTCCTCCAAATGTGTATATTTTGTGAGGGATGTCATTCCATGTAACGACATCAGACACTCCTGGTACTCGAGAGTCTCGTATTGTAAAAATCAGCTTGTTGTTAAAGGCTTCTCTGAGCAAATCCAAGACCTTTCTTCCCTCCTGATTATCAGGCAAGTATGCAGTTCGTCGTGTTCCACTATAAGGCTTTCCTGGGTTAGGGTGCTCATCCTGTATGAGGAAAGGAAAATGTTAGATAAGAAATGGCATGCCTCTGAAATTTACTATACTAAAGGTGTGTGGATCATAGGTGAAGTCTACTGAAAACCAAGAAAGAAAATGCTGTTTTGTTCATATTCTGAAAAATTCATAGTTCTCTTCAGATTACAGTCATACCCACCCAACTCCTCCCATCCTGACATATGGTCTCTACCTTTAAAAAAAAAAGACATGAAAGTCTAGATGCACAGCTTGACAGTGCTTGCTTGGCATGCACAAGGGTTGGGTTCAGCCCCAACACTGTTGAAATAGCTGAAAAGACATCCAAGTTCTAAGCAAACAGTATGGCCTCTAGCTATTATGTCCCTACCACAATCACTGAATGAGTTCCCAGAAAATCAGCATCTAAGAGGCTACAGGACGACCCCTTGGGTGCTGGTAACTCTACCAGAGCCAAAAGAAACTCATGTTCCCTGGTACACTTACTGTTTGGATGCCACTTTCTATAATGTATTGAATCACAATTGTGCCACAGTCTTCATGACCTGGAAGTGACTGTCTTGAAGTGGTGAAAGTCATGGTTCCATCTGGCTGGTTCCCTTTCTGGATACCATAGGACATCTGACACAGAGGACAGACAGACTTGATTGACAAGGCCTTGGTGATACAAGAGGAGCAGAATTCATGCTTGCACTTAGGGAGCACATGCTTGTTGCTAATGGTGCACTTGCAGACGGCACAGGAATTTTTGTTATCATTCACCTTCAAAGCCCCAGAGCTGTCAGCAGAGCATCTGAGAGGAGGTGAAGCTGCATTTGTGTCATTCCTGTCGATATCCGTGGGTGTCTCGTGATCCTCATTTAATCTCTTTCCAGAAGGTAGGGACAGTCCCATTCTTTTGAAGACATACTGCTTTGTCTCTGGAGGCTTATTAGGCAAATCAATTAAAGTCATTGACTCTTGATACATCACAAAGTGTGTATTTGGGTGCTTTTTTTTTTTTAAGTCAAGAGCACTGCTGCTCTTCCAGAGGACCTGAGTTCAGTTCCCACAACCATCAGTAGTGGGCTCTGATGCTCCTTTCTAGAATAAGTCCTACATGCAGGTAGAGCACCCACTCATACACCTAAATTAATAAATCTTTTAAAAAGTGCAACAAGATCCCTTATCATGAGGCTCAAAAATATCAGGTGAAGTTCCCCACCAGAGTTAAAATCCTACACCCTGTCTCACAGTACCCTTTCCTGTCCCTAGCTCTCTCCCTTGCTCACTGCCTCCCTCTCCTCTTGCCTCACTAAGCTTCAGTTCCTGTGAGGCCTGTGCATGTGCTTCCCTCAGCCTAGAATGTTCTTACTACAAAACCAGGAAGCTAGAGAAAGGTCTGAAGTGTTCCCATTTTACAGCTGGGCCTGAGTTTCAGTTTCCTAAAAGGACAATGAGGGAGACAGCACATATCGGGCCTGAGGTACCTTCCATAGTACCTCAAGGCAGGGACCAAAAAGGACAGTTCTGTAATCTTACCAAAACAAACATGTACTGCCTTGCCCAAATATGGAGCAAAATGGTAAAACTATAACCACAGCCAAATAAATTGTACTAATATAACTGTTGCCTACTTAACCAAACGTATTTGAGGTGACCTAATTGTCACTGAAACTCCCCTTACCTGTGCTTAAAAGGAGCCTACCCACTCCCCTTGGGGTCGTCGCCATTTTGTGCAGGTGAACGGCCTCACATAGGCTGATAATAACACTCCTTGCTCTTACATACTGTTTGAGTTTGGGGTCTTCCTTCAGCATTTCCTCAGACCCCACACTAGGTCCTTTAGTTTACCCATGTTCTCTAGATGAAGCATCATGTGGGTTTGTTTGTTTACACCCTGTTTAGAATGGTGGCTCTGTCACTGTTCTCATCCCCCTTTATTCTTTCCGCACTTGTCACTAGAGAGAATTCTATTATACATCTGTTAACTCTTCTTTGTTTCCCTTACTCGATGTCAAGTCCCTAAGAGCAGTCCACACTGTGTCTGTGCCCCCACTCCTACGACAGTGCCTGCCACACCTTAAGCAGTACCTATCTATTTTTGTTAATGGCTGGTGCTTTCTCATCATTTAAGCCTTCAGGCTAAATGTCACCTCAACAAGAAGGTCTCCCATCTTCCCTTGCATGCCTTCACCCTGTACCTCTCTGACACAAAACTCCTTTTTTATTCTCCTACCACATCTCTGTCTTTGAAGTGCTTTTCCTCAGTTCATTTACTTGCTTACATTCTGCGGGTCCTGTTACCCCAATACAGGCTGCATGAGGACAGGAATCTTTTCCCTGTTTATTCACCTCTGTTGCCCAGTATCTAGAGCAGCATCTAGCTCACAGCTAGTGCCCAGCTAAGGCCGCTGGACCAAAAGGGCAGAAGCGGTGACCTAGGGGCAGTTGTAGCAACAGTGCCAGCTCTTCTGTCAACACTCACCATCTGGACAATAGTGTCATCAGAATTGTAAACAGGCCCTTTATCGGAGAGGGCTTCATCCTGATACTGTGTCACAGACTGAGGTTGAGGTCTCGGGTCCTCCACTTGCTTTTTCGTGGTTTCCAGGAAAATGGTCACAGGTTTGCCATCAATCACCATTTCATGGTCTCTCTTTTTCAGAACTCTCTCCTTAGCTTCAGGGGAGACATAAAACTCACACATTCACACAGAAATGAGAGCGAACTTACAGATGACCCTCCACATCCTCTCTGAGTTGATTCTAGGAACTTCTGAAGACACCAAAATCCAGAGATGTCCCTTATATGCTTAGGACTTTCACACAAGCTACCTATATTCTCCCATGTGCTTTTCATTTGCTTGCTTTTTGTCTGTTTGATTTTGAGATATGGTTTCACTATGGAGTCCTTACTGCCCTGGAACTCCCTAAATAGACCAGGCTGGCCTTGAACTCACAAACTTCTGCTATGTTCACATTCAGAGTACTGGGATTAAAGGCACATGCCACAATACCTAGCCTTCCATAAACTTTTAAGAATCTGTAGATGACTTTAATCCATCATATAAAGTAAGCACTCTGGAAATACATATTATGATGTATTGTTTAGTTGGATGAACCCTGTGATATAGGACTACTGTTTAATTTTCTCAGGATCAAATCATTCTGTCCTGAAGGTAAGCACGTAAAGACAGAAGGTAAACCAGTTAAAATAGCTTGAGAAAGACCCTGAAACTGACCAGATTCTCTAGGTTCCTCCCTGCTGGAGTAATCAATAAAGACTGCTGAGAGTTGGTCTGAGAACAGCAGAGCAGAGCACAAGGAAGACTCAGAAAAGCAGCACTGACTCTAATACAAGACAAGCTGCAATGATGACACCAGACCATGTGCATGGAAGAAGCAGAAACCAACTGAGTTGCCTGGAAGAGGTTTAGACCAGAGCTACTTGGACCTGCTGAGCTGCCTCCGGGCTTTGCTATGTGCTCCAGATTCACGGCTTTGGTTCTTCAGCTGTCTTTGAGTCATTTCTGCACCTGTAAGAAACCCCTCATTCCCAGAAACCACATGGTGGCTCACAACCATCTGTAATGAGATCTATTGCCCTCTTCTGGTGTGCAGGAAAACATGTTGTATATAACCAATAAATAAATCTTTAAGAAAGAAAGAGAGAGAGAGAGAGAGAGAGAGAGAGAGAGAGAGAGAGAGAGA